AACTTTAGCTATTTATTAATGACAGCATAAATTTCCATTTACATCAATTACAATAATGAAACGTAGTGACAGACTAACACATAATTAGAGAAAGCATGCACCACACTAATATGATAGGCATTAAAACATTAAAAACCTGATTTACCCTTAGCTGCACCTGCCAGACCCCATATGAAGACAGTATACAGTACTTCTATCACTGGAAAACCCAGATCTGGCAACATTACCTCCCCAAATTTACTGCGCAATACAGACTAGTTGTGATTGGTAGACACGTATGTTACACGTCAACAAAAAATTATTTTAATTCCACATTAAAAAGGGGAAAACGGTGACACCTGTGTACAGTATTGTATACTTTGATGGTTAAGATATGTCAGATCAAATATTTGCTATTATCACATACTATAAGGGATTGTCACATTGATGAGGAGAGCTTCTAAACAACTATTGCCAAGGTTGTCATGAACTTTATTGAACTTTGCTTGTTTTTATAACTACATGTATATTTTATTATTACATAATATACATTTCATTCACTATTACCACGGTAACTCTGTATGGATTTATCTAATGATTAATATTCTCCCTTGAAATCAAATGGTTTCCTTTTCAACATTATATACTAAAAAGGTCACATCAAGGCCATACATGCATTGTATTGAATTATACTATGATCACTACCAGAGAAACATTTTACAAACAAATTGGTTTCCATGGCAACGGATTATTATCCATATAAATTCTTTTACAGTAACGGTGCAACTGCAGTCATTTGTATAACTAAATAATAGTTTAAAACATAAACAAATGTTTCTCTTCCTGAATGTCAGAAAATGAAGTCAAAAGGTCTATCATATGTATATCATGGGAAATCAGATTTTCATATCATGAATGGTATGTTTTAAATACTAACCTGGTGTGAGTATACCAGACTTCTCAGCTCCACCTCTGTCTTCCAATGCCTAGAATTGTTGAAAACCATTGTTAGAATATCCATGACATAATTACAATTTGTGAAATTAGGTCATCATACCATGGCATATAGGATATTAACATAATATATGCACAGACATGTACACAGATAATAGACTAGTTAGTAAATGCATAGAAGAAACATCTTGGGTAAAAATAAAAAGTTGGATACCCTGAGTGGGAAGTATTGAAATGCTAGCTGATAGAGGAACATTTAGAACACTCTGTGTTAGTGCCAATAACCAATAAAGCCAGCTCACAATACATGTTGTATTTTATCATCTAATTACTATGCAAATATAGTATACTTGGTATTAAAATACCAGATGGTGCATGATAGACATATAATATAGATTAGTTTCGTGAATATTACGTTTTGAACTTTAATAGTAATACCACTGTCTCTAATCTCAATAATCTTTTATAATCAATATGGTTTCTTCAATATTTAAAATGTGGAAAAATTAATAGATACATGTGTATACACTTGGCCATCAAACTCGCATGTCTCGCATTTCATGACCAAACTATAAAAAAATATTTGAATAAATGAATTTGTAAAAACTAATAGTACAGAAAACTGT